GGTCAAAACAATTTATGTTTACATTTCGCATTTCATACAAAAAAAAATGAAGAAACTCCAATCGAATTAAAGTACATGGTCAAATATGTATACATGTAGCCTATAGGTATAATTTATACAAAGAAGTTAACCTATTATTCTATGAAATTCGAGCTAACACAAGTAAATATTATGCGTTGCTCAAAGTGTAAAGCATAAAAACAATAGAACAATCTTCTATATATTAATTGAGGAGACATTAAGGTGAAAATTATATTTGTCATTCAATAAAGGTTTCAACGAACATGTCATCTAAATTAACCAATGAAAACATTTCAATTAATCCTCTATATATTAATTGAGGAGACACTAAGTTGAAAATCATATCTGTCACTCAATTAGGGTTTCAAAGAACATGTCATCTAAATTAACCAATGAAAACATTTCAATTAATTCTAGATATTCTTATAATTTTTAGCATAAACCCATTAATACATGTTTTGCAAATCTAAATCCAACTAAATGTAATATTTAGACTTACCATATTATCTATTTTAAAAACTTCTTTTATATTGAGAAATTTTAAAAAATATTATTTATATTTTATAAACTTTTTATTATTATATTTGTGACAATATTATTTATTGTTTATATATGTGTTTAGATTAATATGATATATAAAATTTTAACAGATTTCATTATGGAAAAATAAATACTGCTTTTCGTTTATTATGACCGACAAATTCATATAAATCTAAAATTTAATTGATTTATCGCATGCTCTATAATTTACANGAATATTAAAAATTAATTTTACACTTAAAATATTTTGAAATAAATAAAATTTTCATATGTTCTGATCAATTGCACATAAAAATATTAAAATTGATGGCATCAAAATATGCTTGATCAAAATTTAACTTGATTATACTTATGCACAATGCATATCATTTTGTAAGTTATATTAGAAATCATATGATTTGTTAGACACATTTACATATTATAATAGATTAAAAATATATTAATATCTAGTACTTTGTTAATACTTAAACCGGTTTTGTTGTTCATTGAGCACATACCAAGATGTTCCATATCTTCCTTGACCTCCTCACGATTCTCCCAATCTTCTGTGCAATGAACGATTCAATCAAATTCGATGACGGAAGACTCCTAATCACCGGAATTCGGTTTTCCGGTTCTCTCTTCCTCATGTAGAAACTTCTGCTGCCTATTTCACCAATTACATCGGTTTTCTCCAAACCTTAAATCCAAAACAATGAGTTATTGCTTCACATTTTACCATATCTAACGGATAGACATTAATCGCGCGAAAAAACTTTACACTAAACATTTGTTCTGTTCCAGATTGTGTTGTGGAGCTTACACTGAATGCTGAAATGAGACTGATGCAATTCAAAGACAAGATCTTTATCGAGTTTCGGTGTTCGTCTTTCTTCACCATACTTCTCAACGACCATTTTGATCGTTTCTTCGACATTACAAGTCAGTTTAACCAAAGTCCTTACCGGTCCTGGACTTCCTTCCACTGATACACTGATCATAACTTTCGCTGCTTCTCTCTTATAAACCTGATTTTTTTTTTTTGGAATCAAACAAACACAACTATTCAACACAAATCAGAATCTTTCTGCTTCTTTTCTAACCAATCAGATTACGTGCCTAGATGCGTTAATTTGTAGCATATTAAACGTTTAGGTCCAATACTAAAAAACTGAGAGAAATGAAGGACTGAAATTAGTTAGAGAGAAGAATTTATAAAAAAAAACCTGTTGGTTAATCGGAGAAGAAGAAGAGGACGGCGAAGAGAATCCAGATAACGACGGAGCTGAAGCGCAAACCTCCGGGCGGAGTTTAGACAAGTAGACGATCTGCTCGGGTTCTTCCGCCGGTAGATCTATCATCGGCGGCGTAGAATAACGGCGATCATCATCATCTTCACAAGCGAGGCTACGGTGGAGATTTGGGTCTGAGAAACTTCGATTGAGGATTTTATTAGACTTTGAACGAATCTTAGTTGGGATGCGACGGGAGGCTTGGTGCTTCGCCGGACGTTTGGTTTTAGTGCTCCGGCCTCGGGTTCTGTTCGTGAGCGTGGTTGTTCTCCGGTGAATTGAATCTGACATTTTTTGGTAGTTGCTTCGGGGA